AGGCTGGAGTGCAGTGGCACACTCATGGCCACTGCAGCCTCGACCTGCTGGGCTTAGGCGATCCTTCAGCCTCAGCTTTCAAGTAGCTGGAAATACAGTTGCACGCCACCACGCCCGGCTAGTTTTTGTGATTTATGGTAGAGACGAGGTCTTACCAAGTTGCCCAGGCTGGTCTCGAATCCTCAATCTCAGGCAATCCTCTGGCCTCAGCCTCCCAAAGTGCTGGAGATTAGGGCTGAGTCAGTGCGCACAGCCAACTGTCATTTCTTAGTGTCCCAGATCTGGCAGTCGTGCGAAGCAACTAAGTGTTAAAAAGAAAATGGGCAGGGCTGGGTGGCTCAGCCTGTAATCCCGCGCCTTTGGGAGGCTGAGGTGAGTGGATTGCCTGAGCCCGCGGGTTCGAGACCCGCCTGGGCAGGCGAGACCTCATCTCTACAATAAACCAAAAAATTAGCAGGGCGTGGTAGCACGCGCCTGTAATTCCGGCTACTCGCAAGAATGAGGTGGAAGGATCGCCGGAGCCCAGCAGGTCGAGGGTGCGGTGGTCGGGAGCGGCCACTGCACTACAGTCTGAGCGACAGTGAGACTCCAACTCAAAAAAAATAAAAAATAAAAATAAAATAAAATAAAAAAGAAAATGGAATTGGCTGAAAAGAAATCGCAAAGCTAATAGAAATTCTCTACACCCATTCACAATCTCCCATTTTCTGATCATTAACGGGCCTCTTGCTCCCTCTAATCCTTTCCTTCCGCTCCTGCCAGGCTGCATATTTCCCTCTTTGGTAGCATGCCTTTGACCTTCTTCTTCTAGGCCTTAAAAAATAGGTGAAATCTGAATATAGAACAACTTCTTGGTAGGACGCACATGCATGTGCTTTCAATAACTTAAGTAAATACTGTGATTTTGCACCAGCATAGAACTTTGACGTTTTGCTTTGCTTTACCTTTTGAGAACAAACTCCCTCACTCATCCAGACTACACTCCAAGTCCCTCAAGACTCCTAGGGACAAGAACATTAGGTACTATGCATTCTGCCTTCAAGACAGAGCATCCTCCGGTCTACCAGCAATGCTGACACAAAAGCAGGGTTTGCCTGGACGGAGGTCACACGCTTACTGGACTGCAGGGACAGGGGCACTCTCCGCTTGCTCCTGCCATGCGAGTCGAGGGGTCAAGGGCAGGCACTTCAGATGTGCTCGGTCTCCACAATGCGGCCAGGTGGACTCGCAGTCTTTTGGCAATATTTTTTAAGGCCAGGGTTACTGGCTGTCACAACCCAGGAGCTGGCGTTTCTTCTTTCTTTCGGTATTTCCACCACCGTGAGTGCTCCTTTACAGTAGAAGGACTAGCAAAGACCGAGCTTTTGGGGACCTCGTAGTGGGACGCGGCGCGGGCACAAACGGCTCTGGGGTTACTAGCTCCGACATGTGCAAACAGCGGACTCAAGGAAGCGCCAATCCCTTAAGAAACACGTGCACAGTCCCGCGGCAGGAGGGGCCCACAACCGGCAGCTCGCTGCCGGAGCCCGCTCCCGAGTCCAGGGATGACTCCGCATTTAAAACCGTGCCGAGGCGGGTGTGCCAGGGACCGGAAGCCTCGCCACGTGACCCGCCCTTCTCAGCGGCCATTGCTGGCGAGGAGGACGCCCGCCCCTTTCCCGTTTCCTAGCTCCTCCAGCGCGGGACGGCGCGGAAACGTCTCACGGGAGGCGGTCCCAGCCAGCTCCGAACTCGAGTGTCACTTAGAACTCGCGCCTTTCCCAGCAATGCTTTGCAAGCCCCTCATCGGGGAGAACCGCCGCGGAGACTTCCGCCCGAGTCCAACCACGTGATCACGCGAGACTTCATTACTCCCTGCGCTCCGCCCGCCCAGCACCCAGCACGGCGCCGGACGACGCGGCCTCCGCCCCGACGCGCCTGCGCACGCGGCTCTCGCGGTGTCTCGCGCTCGGCCCCGCCCACCTCTGCCCCCGCCCTTTCCGCCCCGCCTTCCCCCTCCACCCTGTCTCTCGGCGGCGGCGGCGGCGGCTCGCGCAGCTCGTTGGCTCGCTATATAAAGGGGAGAAGCGGGCGCACCGGACGGCTGGGGCTGCAGCCGGTGGCGGCAGCGGCGGCGCTGGGAGTGGTACCCGGTGGTGGTTTCCCTCCTTGGCGCGGGGTGGGGAACGGGCAACGCCCCCCGGACCCCTGAAGGGTCGTGGCTTGCTGTTTTGTTTTTCTTTTTCTTTTTTTTTATTCAGGCGATTCTCGAGGTTTTTTAGCTCCGGGAGGAGTGCCCCCTCCTCCCCCTCGCCCTCTCTCCGCTCCCCCTACTCGTTCAGGATCGATTTTGTTGCCATTTTTTGGCGGTGACCTGGGTCACCCTCCGGGTGTTCTGGTTTTCTTCTTTTTTTTTGGTTTTGTTTTTACCTTGTCTCCTCGGGGTTGCCCCCTGTGGTTTGTGTTGTGTGTGGAAATGGCGAACTCGGCAAATACAAACACCGTGGTAAGGACGTGGTTCGGCGGCCGGCGGGGGCTTCG